CCGGGTATCACCGTCATCAGCAGAAATTTGTGATGTGTAGCATTAGTCGGTGGTTTCCCGCACTGCATAAAGCAGGCGACTTGATATGAAATTTAAAGATACGACAAAATGGCAGGATTCTGCTTGGCTTCCGGCTGATGGTGTCGGGTGTTAAACTTTGTACATGATTATATATTGAGAGGATGCTGCATACATCGGTGTAATTAATTTGCAAGTACAGTGATTATTATTATTATTTTCGAGAGCATGCAGCGTAAATCTGGCTATTTAATGTACAGTACAAGTAGCTTTGTAAATGATTATATGTAGAGAGGATGTAGCGTACATCGCTGCATCAACAGTGATTATTATTTGAGAGTATGCAGCGTACATCGGCGCGATTGAGACAGATGATGTCCCATAAATAGCGCAGGATATCACCGTGTAGCATCAGCCGACATGAGGTTTGAAAATTACCGTGAAATGATAAACTTCTGCCTGGGATAGGAGGGATTGGGTGCGAATCTCGCTTCTCGCTTTTGATGGAGCGCTATATGACTGTGACTAATCGTTATATTCAGTTTAGCAACGAAGTTATTCATCTAATAATTCCAAATTGAGCAACCGATTGAATTATACTTATCTGAGAGCATGCGCTTCTTCATGTGCCGTTAGCATATCTGTTTGCTTGATTTGGATAAACCAACCACTAACCAGTTTGAATAGTGGTCAGGTCAGCATGATCTAGCAGGGTTGGTTTTGGCATATCCCTGCTTAGCATACTTTTCAATCTGTTGACCTTCCGTCAACTTGAACGAATTTTAAGATTAGGTGCAACGTGAAATTTGAAAAAAAACAAGAGTAGCTCTAAATTTTAAAATGCTTAAAAAATTAGCCGAGACTTACCAGATTCCCCCTGATGACCAAATGTATCATTCGTCTCATTCATTGGAAGATAAATATTCAGATGAACAAATAATTAAAAAAATTTTTGGTATATTTTTTAGTTTTGTAATTAATGTTGCGGCTGATGCTGAAAATTGGACCTATTTTGATGATTAAAAATGTTCCTTGTGAAATTTTACTCATAAATGCTACATTTTCCCAATCCTAGCCTACTATAATGCGATTTTTTTAGCTACTGTATAATTTTACACGTTTGATTATCACGTTGCACCTGACCTTTAAATTTTGATTGATCAAATTATAGTAATAGTTGATGAACAGGCTCTGAAATCTCGCGGTTAAGTAATTTATGATTCCACGTGACTAGTGGTGTAGCTCTATTTGAGGTAATTAATTTTACGACCGATTGTAATGAAGTTGCAATTTTTTGGTCGTATATAAAAGGTGCAACTTTATGTAGTATTGACGTAGGCCGTAACTCTAATACTATTAAATGCCTGAAACACTATGTAGTTCTAACTTCGTTAATAAATAGCTTATTTTATCATGAAGATTATTATATGAAAAATAAACTTTACTGAGATAGAATCAAATGATTGATTTATCAATAAAAAAAAAAATAAAAGAATATATTAAGAGAAAATCTTGCAATTTTCATAATAAATATTTACATAACAAAGTCATATTGTCTCGGTTTACTAAACTCTGAATCATATTGATTGTAGATAAGTGCTTTTATTATACTAAAAAGTCCTTTGAGTTTGAGTTATAATCGATTATTTAAAGATTGGTCAGGTCTCATTCTCAAAAGATCGTTTGACACCTTTTACAATAATAGAAGTATTTTCACAATTGGTTGTGACGCAGGAAAATACTTCTATTACATGTAAGAGTGCCGAATGCTTTTGAGAATGAGTTTTAACCAGTTGTTAAAATAAACGGTCTTAAGGATTTTTGATGTAATACTGATAATAAACTATCTATTGACACATATTAGGGATTGGAATCGGTTTAGTCGACTAAACCGATTACTATCTCTAACACATATACTATGATTAATAATCATTAAATAATTATTAGCGATATAATAATAAATATATGTCAGGGTTATATTTAAATTTGGGGCGTGACCGAGATGAAGAGTACTTATCTTTGCTGCAATCACAAGTATTTATCTTTGCTAATCAATAAGATCCAGAATTTTGCATGATTTAAGGCTTTAAATTTTCATGGCTGAGTCAATTTAATTATAGATTCAAAAGTTCAGATATAAACAAAAGCTTTGCTTTTGCACATTTCTTTATATAAGCCACATACTATGTCTAAACAACCAACAATACAAAAAATATTTTGTTCATCAGAATGTCTCAGCTTTTAAAATGATTTATATTTCACTTTTCTTCAGGGTTTCGAAATTTTGCCATTTCACCGGGGTTTCGTCTTCATAGGGCTTAGTGTTAGATTTCGTTTTTCACCATTTACGTAAAATAATTTCATCACATGCTATAAAGATCGAGCTATAATTTTCGTTTACGGTGGAATTTTTTTTAATGATTCTAGAGATTACTAAGACCCTTCAAACTTTAATATATTATTAACATTACCTAATTGAATACTTATAATGATCATAAAACGTATTTTAAGTTTTCTATTAATCCTATTAATTTCAATTGTTGATAAGTCCATCGCGGTTAACATCAATAAAAATTTCTTAATTCGTTCTGCAAAACCAATCGAAAATAAAACATGGGAGAATTGGGATGGTGAAATTCATATTTCGCCAGATGCCATTTTTGAACCATCTACACTTGAAGATCTTAAAGATATTGTAAAATTAGCAAAGACAAATAATAAAACTATTCGATGTGCCGCCCAAGGGCATACTGAAAGTTCTCTGTCTGTCACAGAAAACTATCTAGTAGTAGTTACAAATTTAAAGCAGATTACAGTACAAAAACATTCTAAATATGGCTGGACTGTTACTGCAGAAGCAGGTAAATGTTTATACATATACAGTCAACCCTTTCTAAATGCTGATAACTTACATTTAGAGAACAATAAGAAAATTTTCATTTATAGGAATCTAATATATATTTGGATCAGAGTTAGAGATTGCATTTAGAGGATCGCATTTAGAAAGGTATTGCATTTAAATGGTTGTATTTAAAGAGGGGATTGCATTTGGAAGGTATCGGGTTGCATTTAGAGAGGTGTTGCATTTAGAGTGTTGCATTTAAAGAGATGTTACATCTAGGGATCTGCATTTCAAGAGGTGTCGCATTTGGGATATTACATTTAGAGAGAGGTCTGACTATATATTTAAAAATAGGCAGATCATTATCTGAACTTGATAAAGCGCTCCGAGATCACGAACCATCATTAACTCTCGATTCAGAGACTGTACCTGACATACTTCGAGTGGCTGGTGTTGTAGCAACAGGAGCACATGGTGCGAAGACCAGATCAGGCATTATGTCAGATCAACTTTGCTCCATGAAATTGGTCACTGGGTCTGGCGAGATATTTGAATTTAGCGAAGAAATAAACAAATTAGAATTCAATGCTGCAAAAGTTAATTTAGGTATCTACTAAGCATTTACTTTTGACTATTACTTTTCTTTCGCTATCTAACTTTATTATTGCTAGGT